CTTCTCCTCTTGTAGCTGGGCCTTTGGGGGTAAACGAAGCCACTTACTGGCCACTGTCAATAATAGTAAATGATCGTCAATACGTTAAATGAGACGGTGATGCCCTCACAACTGTCATGTGTTTATCTGTCCAAAGACCTACCCAGAAGCAAGCTCTCGTTCTTGGTATTTCCAAACATCTTTTGTGACTACGTCTTGCAATGTGATGAGGTGTATGTGTTCATTTAATGTGTCTCCACCATGTATGTTTTTTAAACTGTCGTCAGCCTAATTTTTGAAATTATCTACACCTCTATTGAACCTGCCCACTCAAGAATCTGCGTTATCTAGATTCTAACTCAGACCAATCTCTTTGGGGAACCTTGGACGGGCACAAAACAGTGATCACTTTAAGCATGATTGTCACGCCAGACCAGCTGTGCTGTGTTAGGGAGTGTAGTAGAAAGTTCTCTCATGCTGATTTCTGCATTCGTTCTCCTTCAATGAAAAAGTTGGTGAAACTTACTCATTTGGGTTTTCTATATGCCCTTGTTAAGATCTAAGAACAAGGCAATAATTAGCCTTGGTATGAAATTTTAAGGTGTGTTCTTATAACTTACTTAAACAATCTTAAGAGATGTATTAAATAGTCTTATCAGATGCCTTCACAAAAGCTAGGTCTGTAGCTCAGATTGGGTATCACCCCTAGGCAAAAGGGGGCCCTGCCTGGAGGCTGTTTCTCAGTCATTCTCCTCATGTTGACAGAATTGCTCTTATTCCTGCAAAATTTCTCTCGCTTTGAACTTACAGCTATATATTAGTTACCTATTGCTGTGTAACAAATTACCCCTAAACTTGGCAGCTGAAAATAGCAAATGTGTATTACCTGACACCATTCCTGAGGGTCAGGAGTCTGGAGTGGCTTATCTGGGTGATTCTGGCTCAGGATTTCTCATGAGGTTGCCATCAAGCAACCATCTCAAGGTGGCTGGAGAACCCGATTCCAAGCTCCATCACACAGCTGTTGGCAGGAGGCCTCAGTTTCTCACCAGCTGTTGGCCGGAGGTCTCCACTGTTTACCACATAGACCTCTCTGTAGGTTGCCACAGTGGCCTCAGGACATGAAAGCTGTCAACCCCCATGGGATTTGGTCCAAAGGAAAAAGAGAGAGAGTATGAGCAAGTGAGAGAGCACCCACGACAGAAGCTACAGAAGCCATAGTCTTTTATAGCCTAGTATTAGGGTGATGCACTTTCACTTCTGCCATACCCTGCTGGTCACACAAACCACCCTGGTAGAGTGTGGGAGGGGATTCCATAACGATATGAATACCAGGAGGTGGGGATCCTTGAAGGCCATCTTGGAGGCTGGCTACCACAACCTGGAACATCTCTCTCCAGCCCTATCAAAAGACAATGACAAACGGTCAAAAGTCCACAGCTTTAACACAAAACCTTCGTTAACACTGCAGCCTTGAGAGCACCTGCCCTCACCTCCAGCTGAGGCCACTGGTCTCCTGGAAAGCCAGCCTTGCTTAAATGGTGTCAAAGAGAACTTGAAAGTTTTCACCGTGTCTTTAAATAAGAGAGGTGAGTGCCTGGAGTTTTATTATAGTAAAACAATCTGGATCACTATCCAATTTCTTAAGAAAACTGTTTGATGAAAGTCCCAGATCAAATAAGGAAACTCTTGGGTTTCCTTTGTTCCATTAATGATCATAAGTAGAATCTGTTTGCCATGGCAGAAGCCACTATGTCACATAAAAGAAGGGACAGACTTGCTGGAGAGCAAAGGTGTTACCAGCAGCCTGGCGGGGCCTGTTGTATTCCTCCTCATTTGTAGGTTATCAGGAAACTTTTGGTCACCAAGTTGTAATGTCAGGTTTATTTTATCTTATTCTCTGAAAAAGAAAAATCTAGAACGGCAGATAGCAGTTGAAAGACGTTTTTGCTGATGCACCCAGTTCTGTGTTTCAGTAAACATCACCCAGCCGCCTGGACTCTGGATGTTGGGTTGGGTGGAGCTAGTGTTTCTCAACCAGGGTCCTGAGGGCCATCGATGTTTTCTGTTTTCTGTGTCATGTTATGTCTGTTGCTGTGGATTAAACTCAGTATGTTGCAACACTCAGCTGGACTCAAAGTCAAGTAAATATTTTTCTCTTCCATTGTTTCCAAGAGAAAAAAAAATCAGTGCTTAAGCCAGTTGAATATTTATATAACTTTGACAGTTATACATAAGAAACTTTGTAAGGCAATAAAATTTTTGTTGCTTCTTTCTCCTGAAATATAATGTGGCCCAAAGAAAGGTTCTATACCAAGGTCATCCTGGCAGGAACTGTTTCTCAGCTGTTTCTCCATAAGTTGTATTCATTAAAATAAACATTTTTTTTTTTTTATTACTAGAACATCAGAACAGACATTGTCATGGATATTGGCTACAGTATAAATCCAGCCCTTGACAGAGGCCAGGTATGTACACTGATCTGCCTCCTTCCTCTCTGTAAAGCCAGAGCTGCTTTGGGATCTGCAGGGAAAACCTTCCATCTGGCTTGGTCATCATCGTATCTTTCTACCCTGTCATCAGAATCTTTCTATTCAGGCCAGCCACAGAACTCACACCTCTTATTGTTATAATTGGGAAGGAAACTAGGGTGTTTTAGGTAGTTTTTGAAGAAACGTACAGTCTGTGATTGGGGAGCTTGAACGAGGCAGGACTGAACCTGGAGGTGACAAAACGAGCCCACACCTTGGGGTAGAAGCAGAATGTCGTGCTGAGGTCCAAGCCTTGGGCGTGTGACAGACTCGAGCTTCGAGGAGCGTACAGTTGGGCTGGGGTAACAACGTCACACAGTTACAGCAGCAGCTATTGGTAGGTAGTCTATTTTGTCCACAGACATTTTTTGTTTAAATTTGAAATAATTGGCAAGATTGAGAAATCACAAGCTGTTTTACATACATATTCAAATGTCTAGCATCTCTT